ATTTATGGGTGGAACAAAAATAAATTTCACACAGCACGATCTTCTACAATTTGTAAATTCCAAAGTACAGCTCATTTGAATGGCAAATGTCGCTAAGCTCTTTAGAATACTAAAACTTGGGCTGAGCTCTTACATGGGGCTATCATAAACATCTGATATATATTTTTTAATAGATGTGATATATTATTTAGGTTACGACCGGTACGTGAACATAAATTTACATTTTTGCCATGGGTATTTATTTATATTTCGTCGAGTCATTTGCTCTGTTCCAGAACCTGCAAGAATGTACTAGTTTTGCAATTTTATTCGATATCATAAAGGGAAAATAGTTTATCGTAGTAAAAACATTACATTCTTGCAGTTCTGGAACAGACCAATTATTTACAAAAACAAGTTAAAAAGTATCAGTCGATTTTGCCTCAGCCAATGCTTGATTATTTAAATATATTTTGACTTCTGTTATAATTACTCAAGTTGTTGTTCAATTGTGGAGTAGGTTCCGAAGGAATGGGTCAATATTATCAATTTTGTATCGGACCCAAATAAATGTGATATAAATTTTGCGATAGTCCCAACCTGGCACTATATTGTTACTTCCTTCACTTTATATGATATATGTGATGATTTTTAGAAAATGTAGAAATTTGCGTAAGGCAGACGATATAGTCGACCGAAGTATTCCATTTTCATGCTTCATCTAATACAAATAAAAATCGTATGGGCAAAAGTATTCCATTTTCATGCTTCCTATAATACAAATAAAAATATTCGTATGGGCAAAATTACAAGAAAATCAAACATTTATATTCAATTATATGCGAAATCATAAATTCCAAATTCATTTCAGGTTTTTGGTTGATATAAATATTTAGCGAGTTATGACAGATAAAGGCACTGGAAATTGTTAACCCTTGTGTGTGAGGTTTTAGAAGGGGTTCGCAGATATATACAACAGATCTCGTGTTAGTAAAATTGTATTTATGTGTGAAATTTGGAGAGAGAGATTGTTTTTTAAAATCTTGAACACTATGTGGTGAAGGTCATAGAAGAAATGGTCCGATCTACCATCTTTATAAGAGATCTTGGATCTCGATGGAAATATTGAGATGTGCCAAGTCTGTATGGAATCGGATGTTAATTTCGGGTTTTATGAGCTTCATGGATATTCAAAATTTTGACCATTTGTGGGGCAGGCACCAAACCTTGGGTTAATAAACATATTGTGATGTGTGTATTTTGAAGATAATCGGAATCTTATATCACATTTTATAAGAGTTATAATTATTCAAAATCTTGACCCATTTTTTTGTTTTTGTTTGTTATACCCTCCACCATACTATGGAGGTTATATTAACTTTGTCATTCCGTTTGTAACTCCTCGAAATACTCATGTCAGACCAAACAAAGTATATATATTCTTGATCAGCGTAAAATTCACACATGTGTATTTTTCCAGTAGGCAGGTTAAGTTCGTAACTGAGCTATGTAGGTCCACGTTTTCATATAGCCCCCATATAACAGTACCTCCCGATATTCAGTATTTTGATGATTTTAGCGACATTATTCACCGGAATTGCTTCAACTTTGCTATTTGAAGTTCGAAATGGATTCTACACCCTAAGAAAGAAAATTATCTATGCAGGTCCATGTCTTCGTGGATGATTTTAGCGGCATTATTTACCAGAATTGTTTCAAATTTTGTATTTGAAGTTCGAAATTGATACTACACCCTAAGACATAAAATTGTCTGTGCAGGTCCACGTCTTCTGGTGATTTTAGCGACATTATTCACCAGAATTGTTTCAAATTACGTATTTAGAGTTCGCTATGGAAACTACAGTCTGTGACAGAAAATTGTTTACGCAGGTCCAGGTTTTCGTATAGGCCCCATATATCAGTACCTTCCTACATTCGGTATTTTGACGATTTTAGGTGCAATACCCACCGAAATTGTTTGAGATGTGGTATTTGTAATGGATGCTACAGCCTGTGACAGAAAATTGTCTATGCAGGTCCAGGTCTTCGCACAGCTCCGATATAACGGTACCTCCCTATATACGATATTTTGATGATTTTAGCTACATTATTCACCGTTTATTTCAAGTTTCGAATTTGAATATGGTAATGGCTATGACAAGCAATGCCTATGTAGGTTCACGTCGTATACACCCTAATATAACGGCTGTATTTGGTATTTTTAGAATTTTAACAGAATTTTTTAAGGATTTTATTTTTTGAAAATTTCCAAATTCGTTCCAAATGGTGGAGGTTATTCAAAGTTCGGCCCGGCCAAACTAACCGCTTTTTAACTTGTTTTTTTTTTTAAATTCCGACCGTTTTTGGGAGAGGTATAAGAAGGGTGGACTGGTATTGTCCATCTCCGAACCCGATCTAAGTTTGATGATAATATTATGATGCACCAAGTTTGGACCAACTCGGATACTCCCTTCAAGAGTTATCGTGCGCACCAGAGGCCAGACGGACAGACAGATCAACTCCAAATGTCCTGAAACGGATTTGGTCCAAAGAACCCTTATTTAGATGAGGCACATTTTGGCCTTATGAAATGATATATACCATCTCTAGACATATGGCGGGGGGTATAAAAAATCATGAGAATTAGATGACAGCCATGGGATATGCCAGATGAAACGATGATGTCATAGAGCGGACATTGTTCTTCGCACACGATCTAGCAGCAAGTAGGTAAAAATTCAAACTATTGTCAAGAAGCAACATCATTTACATCAGTTGATGCTTAGTTGGAAAGCAAATATGTGCTGGACAAACAAATTAAAAAACCAGTAAAGAAAGTCTTAAAGTCGGGCGGGGCCGACTTTATGATACCCTACACCACTTTGCTAATTAAGTAGAGCTCCACATAACATAAAGTTTTTATGGGAGAATTCAATCATACACGCTATGATTATAATTATAATTTAAAGTTCACAGGACTAAATATGCCGAAGTATTTGTATCTTTTAAATTCGGAATTGTATTGCCCATTTGGTGCACAATTAATTTGAAATCGGATAAAGATATATATTTGAGCTATATCCAAATCTGAACAGATCTCGATAAAATTTGGCAAAGATATTTCTGAGCTGTATTTGATATATTTCCCTGAATATCGTTGTTACGGAGTGCATATTACGGTTGTGGGTAACAAATATGACAAATCGGATGAATAATATATATGGAAGCTATAGCTATATAGCGGATGAATAATATATATGGAAGCTATAGCTATATCTAAACCGATCTTCACCAAATTTTACATACTAGCTTCTACACTCAATTCGGTCGTAAGTGCCAAATTCCATCCCATTTGGACAAATATTACACGTTTGGTGCACAATAAAAGGTAAATCGGACGAAGTTATATATGGGAGCTATATCCAAATCTGAACCGATCTCGATAAAATTTAGCAAATGTATTTCTGAGCTGTATTTGATATATTTCCCCAAATATTGTTGTTGCATAGTGCATATTACGGCTGCGGTGGAAAAAAATAACAAATCGGATGAACAATATATATGGGAGCTATAGCTATATCTGAACCGATTTCGATCAAATTTGGCATACATATTTTCAGGCCTAATTTGGGTGTATATGCAAAATTCCATACAATTCGGGCTGATATTACACGTTTGGTGCACAATAAAAGACAAATCGGACGAAGATATATATGGGAGCTATATCTAAATTTTGACCGATTATCTCCAATTTCAATAGGGTTCGTCCTTGGGCCAAACAAAAGATTTTTGCAAAATTTCATCTGGATCGGGCAATAAATGCGACCTGTACTTTGTTTACAAAAATACATGGACAGACGGACGGACGGACGGACGGACGGACAGACGGACGGACGGACGGACAGACGGACGGACGGACATGCATAAATCGACTCAGAATGTGATTCTATGCAGATCATCAAAAGGAACTATGGGTCTATCTCGTTTCCTTCTGCCTGTTACAAACAAATGCACAAAGACATAATACCCTGACCACCTTGTGGTGTAGGGTATAAAAAGGTTAAGCTTGACCTTCATAAATGCAAACTATTATGTGCATTGAAGGGAGACTACATTTGAAAGGGCAGATGACCAAAATTTGCGCTTGATTTCCCAACACCTTCATTACACATAAATCGTCACTAGCAATTGTCACATAGCAATATGGTGGTAATACATTGGCTGAATTGACGTTTTTGTCGAGTGTTGAGCTTTGGCCAGTTGATGCGTAAACGGTCTCTTTGTTGCTTCATCGCCAAGAGTATTACATGGGTATCTACCGACATCGGTTAAATACAAACAGCCAAAGTGCAAGCGACGCGAAATGCAAAATCGTTGCAGCAATGAAAAGCTTTTCGATTTCGTTTAACTTAGATACGAACATAGAAAATTGTAAATATTTTGAACAACAGAAACTATTAGAACAAAGCAAAGCGAGCAAAAAGTAAAACAACACACCAACAACAGCAGCTGTACACCCCAACTAGAGAAAACTGTTCAGCAGCACATGTAAGTATTTTCCACCAATGTCGCGAGTCATGCACACGCGAAGACGACGACAATGAGAATATACTAAGTATTATGTGCTTGTGTGTGTGTGTGTGTGTATGTGTATACCCAATGTCGTCATGTGCGTTTGGCTGCATGAGTGCGTGCGTGTGTGTGTGTGTCAAAACATAAAATGCACCGAATAACAAACAACCTAACATTGAGGCAAGCAACAACTAATAGACGACTTATTGCTAGCAGTGTCCGAAACGTTGTCATATGTCAGGGTGTGTGTGTGTGTGTGCACAACCCCACATTAAAGTGAAAAAAATAGATGCGAAAAAAATAACATTTTTTGTGGTTACGCATATTCTTCGCGGGGAAATCTCCTCCACACACCGGACAAAGATTTTATCGCAAAACCCCTTTGGGAGCAGTTACCTAAATAGACAAGACCGCAAAGACATTTCAACACATAGAACTTTTCCACTTACCCGTATCTTTTGTATCATTAGCAACCTCTTGCCAAGCTTTTTGGATTTCGTCTTTTTTACTGTACTCGGGCAATGTTGAGTTCCACAGGCAGGGTTTCGATTCTACCAGTTGCACGAATTTAACATTGAATACTGGATCGTCTTTGCGTGTACTCATCTTGGTGGCGGCGGTGATGATCGTAATGGCTGGTTGCTGGGTCACCTGGTTGCTGGTGCAAATAGCGTTCCTTGAATTATGCGACTGACTGTCGTCTTCGTCGTCGTCGCCAAGCGCCGCACTTGCAGCGAAGGTGGCTATGTGTGACGTGGTAATGGTTGTTGGTTTCTATCGACGACTTGTGGAAATGTTGTTTCTCGCAATACTGCAATGCAGTGATGAGCCTCCGACACAACGGCAAAACTTTCTGTTGTTGCCTATTTGTTTTTGGCAAAAATGAAACTCAAGATATTTGCTGTGTTTCGCAAAGCACGACGTATTTGATGATAAGAGGTCCTCCTATTTTTTGTTTCGCCACATTTGCTTCGTACGTACGTCCAAAAGCCCAAGTAATCGAAACTAGGTTGCAGCAGCAACAGCAAAAACTGCGATAAATGCTCCCGAATAGTTGTCACAGAAATGCACACGCACGCAGTGACACTCACATATGTATGTATGCAAGCAACTACATGCGCTCGCACCTCTTCAACTGTTGGTTTGTATGTGTGTGTGTGTGTGTGTGTGTGTGTGCGATATATAAATTTGTATAATTTTCTGCCCCCTATTATTGGCGGTGCGCGCGTTAGACCGACCGTTATGCAGTTTAGAATTTTAGCACGAGCAAAAAGCCCAACCAAACCCAACGGCTGTTGAGTGCACACTGACTAAGCACACAAAAAGCGCGCAAAAACACCGATACACAGACAGCACTCATACAGTGAAATACCTACACGTATCCAAAAAGCTGTAATGCAGTTGCAGTAGCAGCCTGGTTTGTTGGCTGGCTGGCTGACATCTTTACCGCAAATTACATGCAAATCACTGCTGCGAGCCGAAATCAATAACGCGTCAAACAATTAACTAAGCGCTAAACGCCATAAGTCAGCCAACAGTTGGCGGCGTATGGTTCAAATGACCCACCCCATGACTCAGTTCGGTGTTCGTGTATGAATATGGTTGGAACGGCAAAAGAAGCTGATGGTGGCATAAGTCAGCTACCAATACCCCAGATGAGCAATGGACAAGGCATCGCTCGCTTTGGGGTCTTACGATGCCCTGCTCTTGTGGCACAAATATGACAAATGCTGCTAGGCTGCAGGCATAGAAAAACAAACAAAACTCCAAGTTTCCAATTGGCCCACAAATGCAACTCTCAAGAGGCAAAGTGTGTCAAGCTTTTGTATTCTTCGTCAGATGACGTCATTTGTCTATGGTAACAAAACATATTCGCAAAAAAGTGCAACATTTGCAGTGTTTTCATCATCGGTGGGTCTATTGGTTGGTCTATGCTTGTTTTGTTTTCACATTACTATTAAGCAGCAGTTAGCTAACAACGAAAAGCTTTTGCATTATTCTCGTGCTCTCTTTCACGGAACTTGTTGATAAAGCTTTTGCACTTTCGAAGCAATTAAAGTGCATCGTCGTTGTCTCTGCCGTTTCTAGAGAATGTCTGGCCGATTAGGTTTCTCTGTTTATATTGTGCTGGGCATGCCTCTCCAAAAAGATAAAGTTAAGTTTTTGTTGTTAGGAAATTGTGTCGTGGTCGCACATTGTCTTCTATATCTATATATATATATATATATATATATAATCTATATATATATATATATATATATATATGCTAATTGTTGATTCGACATTTTCGCACATATATATCTTCTTCTTCTTCTTCTATATATATAAAAATCAATTGTTGTTTGTTGGTAACGGAATCAGTTGAAAACGGCTGGACCGATTTGCATAATTTTTTGTACAAACGTTCGTCATACCCCGAGTTAGGTTTTTAAAGAAAAAAATATTGACCACGCCTACTTTTACGCCCACTATCTTGATTTATCTAAAATCTTTATATTTGCCAGATAATGAAGATATCGGTTTGAAAATTTTTACACGACATACTGTTGGCTTTCCATCCAACCCCAAGTACTTATTTAGGGGCTGAGGAACGCGCCTACTTTTAAATCTATCTCTCTGTATGTAAAAGAAAGTTGTGTTAGTTACTACTCTTATAACATAAAGACCGCCGGTGTGATTTTAACGATTTAGACAAATTCGGAATTGCCTCTTGGCAGAAAAGAATAAAATCCAAAAAAATCACGTAAAAATGTGAAATTTGAACATTTTCATTTTGACTTTTAAAATGTACAATAGTAATGTTTTATATTGCATATTTTTTCGAATGTACATTTGTAGTGTTTTTTTTTTTTTTTTTTTTTTTTTGAATTCCAATATGATGTGTAGGTTTTTTTGGGTAGTATAAACCCACAACGGATAAAACTGTTATTTTTAGATTTTATCCGTTGTCGCTTTATATGAAAATTCTAAAATCGGGAAAAAATCGACAATGGAATCGAATCTCAAAATAATAGTACATTCTACCGACAAACTTCGTAAGGACCTTTAAAAATTTGCCGCAAAAAAAATCAGCGAACCAGTTGAAGATTCTTTTTCTTTTTTCTATATTGAAGTGTACATATTTTATTGGTTTGAATTCTGAATGAATAATATTAAAAATGAAATGAGGGCGCAATACGATGTTAAATGCTTTCTACTCCAGGACCTACATCGTGCTTCAGATGGAAGATGCAAACACATTTAAACAAACAAAAACGACCGATGGAGCGTTATGGGGTTAATTTCAAAAAGTGGACCTGCTTCTTTCATGTGACAATAAATTGTCAAATGAGAACACAAAATGCAAAATACATTGGGACTGCAATCAGTCAAATACCGACCATAAAGAACGCATAATAGAAATTCTTCCTAAACATTCAAGATACCTTTAATCGCTTTAGCAGGTCATGATATGGATCATAACCCCTGATAACGGAACAACCCGATTTCAAGTATATTCTACATTTTAACCATATTTTTCGTACTAATTTTAGCTTATGTTGATAATTTAAGAAGAAACCATCTTTGCAAAAAATGATCACGTTTTGGTATCACCATCATATGATTTAAGGTATTTTCGGGGTCTTGGCCACTTTTTTCATTTTTTGGCCCTTATTTGACATCTTTGTTTCTAAGGGGGATAAAAACCTCTTCTTATACAATTTTTATTTTTCGGGGTAAAAAAACCTGGGGTAGAAAATCATCTTACAGATAATTATCCTCATAGGAATTTATTTAAGTATAGTCTCCACATTAGTATACCCCCAAGTCCATTTTCCGAACCAATGTGTGGTCAGAAAAGAAAATTTGGTATTCTATTGAATTTGTAACCCCCAAGAGAATATTGGTTGGGAACGTAGATTTGGTATGTACTCCGAAATGTCAATCTGGGACTCATTTCACTCTGGGACTCAAATGACAAACAATTAATGCCCATCTTACGGTAATCGGAGCAAAAGAGTATTTTTTTTTTGGCTATTCTGACAACATTCTGCCTTCAAGTATGAGGTGGACAAAACTGAATACCACGCAGTACGGGATTTTAATCGTTGGAAATACAAATTTTAAATTATAGCTCATTGGAATGCTTTTTACAATATCAAAAATTGAGCTGAATTTTCACATGGGACTATTATAGATGTTCTTTATCGTGTAGGTATTTAACACTCAAATTAAAGCCTATAGCTGAAAAATAAGATCAGGCTATTCAAAATACCTAAAACCGACGGTAATTATAATTTTTGCCATGAATATTAATTTATATTTAGTCATGGAGTCATTACTCATAATCAAGTCATTACATATAATCAAAATCGGAGTCATTATAATGGAGTCATTACTTATAATCAAAATTTTGCCGCCTACATAAGTCAGATCTGTGATTTAATATGCTTTAAAGACTAAAAGTACGGGCCGGCAACGCGGACCGGGCCAGCTAGTATATATATAAAAATCAATTGTTGTTTGTTGGTAACGGAATCAGTTGAAAACGGCTGGACCGATTTGCATAATTTTTTGTACAAACGTTCGTCATACCCCGAGTTAGGTTTTTAAAGAAAACAATATTGACCACGCCTCCTTTTACGCCCACTATTACGATTTATCTAAAATCTTTATATTTGCCAAAATAGTGAAGATATCGGTTTGAGAATTATTACACGAGATGCTGTTGGCTTTCCATCCAACCCTAAATACTTATTTAGGGGCTGAGGAACGCGCCTACTTTTAAATCTATCTCTCTATATGTAAAAGAAAGTTGTGTTAGTTACTACTCTTATAACATAAAGACCGCCGGTCTGATTTTAACGATTTAGACAAATTCGGAATTGCCTCTTGGCAGAAAAGAATAAAATCCAAAAAAATCGCGTAAAAATGTGAAATTTGAACATTTTCATTTTGACTTTTAAAATGTACAATAGTAATGTTTTATATTGCATATTTTTTTCCATTTTGACTTACTATTTTCGAATGTACATTTGTAGTGTTTTTTTTTTTTTTTTTTTTTTTTTTTTTTTTTTGAATTCTAATATAATGTGTAGTTTTTTTTGGGTAGTATAAAGCTACAACGGATAAAACTGTTATTTATAGATTTTATGTATTTATTCGTAATACCCAATAAATACATAAAATCTATAAATAACAATTTTATCCGTTGTCGCTTTATATGAAAATTCTAAAATCGAAAAAATCGATCACTTTTCAATGGAATCGAATTTAAAATAATTTCTATACAATTTTGATTAAAAAACTTTTAAAATCTCAATGTACTTTTAAATTGGGGCAATGTCTAATGGGGAACAATCTCAACGAATGGCCGCATACCCAGACGGATATAGATTAATTGACATAGGATTTTACACAGATAAAAACAAAATTCCTTGCAACAGGGTCTTCTAAAACTTACGAATTCATAATTATTTTTGATTTGGAAAACATTGCTAAGACCTTTATAATACTGACAATTGAGGTTTGAAAATTTAATTTTAAATACGATGATATAGCGGATATAAAGAGGTACTGGTGAATAGAAAATAAATCATGAAGTGGACTTTTGTCGTAATTATTTAACAAATGATTTATAACCTCGAAATGCTTTTGAAATACCTCAAATCGGCAGGTTATATGTGAAATCAGTATTAAAGGACTAGATTTAACTGTACCGAAATCATCAAATGTCACATTAGAGCACATTTGGTCAAAGAACATTATGAGATTAATATTATATGAGGGCTATATCTAAATGAGAACAAATATATACCTTTGTAACATCAATCATCCAAAGAATAATACCTATCTATCGTAATTGAAAATGGTGAACGGAAAGGCTCACGGACATAATATAATGGACAAAGATTTATACTCTTTAAAATATTTTATGGGGTGCATAACATTTATAAAACAATGACACCTTATTTATGATAGTTAAATTGAAGTCATATTGCCAGGATTTAGAAATTTAGAAATTACTATCGATTCTGAGGTAGAAAACTCCAAAAAAAAATCGAAACATATCTACAAGTGTATATGCAAAATGTCCTTCATTCACCATAAATATTGTGCACTCTACATAAATAAGTTGAAAAGAATACAACAATAACCCACAAAACAAGGAAAACATTAATTAGCATGAACACCGCCAAATTTGTAGATTGATGATAGTTGCAAGCTAACATTTTTTTTTTTATCAAAGTTTGGGCTTTTTTAAACAGAAAATCTATCCGTTTACAACTTATAGGGTAAGTGTGCCTAAGTTCTGCATGTCCTAGTAGTCGGCA